ACATGGGCATCTGCAAACCCACTTCAGAGTCACACCACCACCTTCACAGACATGTGCAGCCCAGACTATGGAGACCTGATAGACACCACTAATGCTGACAACAGCTGAAGAAATCGCAGAGCGGCTACCTGACTTTTACAAAGACAATGCACCTCCCCAACAGGCTCCTGATACCTCATCTAAAAGAAAATGTTTCTTCCTATCAAGCTTTCTCCATGCAATTGGAAGAAGTATTATACCAGATGCACAGACATCAACCTGGGGTTACAAGAAGCATGAAAAAGCAACAACTATTTACTTCCAAAGAGAAGCAATAGTTCTCCAGAAACAGAACATGAAGGAACTCTATAAAATGCCTGAAAGGGGAATGCAAAACAAGGTTCCCAAGGAAACTCTGAGATGTGCAAGAGAACATGGGTGGACAATTCAATGAAATGAGAAAAACAGTTCAGGTGTATGGAAGAGTGTGCTGAAGAAGGGCTTTTTTTTTTTTTAAGCAATGTAGCACATCATCTGTAATGTTATTTTACTTTTATCGATTTTCAGCTTGAAGATGAGAATCTGAACAAAAACAAGGACGGGAAGGCTGAAACCTCAAAAGATTCTTCCTTCTGGGGCTCTCCCCTGGCTTCAGGCGTTTATGCCACCCAGCCCAGATTGTAGACTGTCCACGTGAATTTGAGGACAGCTGTCTCTCTTCAACTCAGGGGAACTGCTTTCTATCATTTTGTAGTATTTACATCTCCTTGTTTGCTCCTCCTTGAAGTATGACCCAGTGCCTCAACTATGCAGTGCTGCACTGGAGCAAGCTTGCACTGCTGTTGGGGGCAGGGCAGAGGGAACAAGCAAGGGAAGGGCTGTGTGCAACCCATCCCAGCTCGGGGGTTGATGACATCACTCTGGGAGCTTGAATTTAGTCATGGATGTAGTATTACACTACAGAAATCACCAGACTCTACAAACCACCCAAACTGTTCTGTTTGCTCCTGGGGGGGAGGGGGGGGGATATGGTCAGCCGGCACACCATTGCCACTACACCTTTGAGTGTTTTTCCTGTGTTAATAAACACACACACAGAGTGAGGGATATTCAAAACGTCCAGGAGACATTTTCCATCAACATTTTAAAGCACATGCACTTTCATCTTCTTTTCCCCAAAGTCCAAAACATTTCTTTTTTTTTTTTATGATTCAGTGATGATTTATTCATTTGCATCGACGTGAAAGGCAGAGAAACACACACAGAGAAAATGAATGAATGAATGGGTGCGCAATCACATTATTCCAGCTCAATGAATTATCTCAGAGAAAGGAAATAGGTTAGGAGAGAACATGGCATATTGGGATTGACTGAGGTGTCTGCTGTGTGTAAAATATCAGTAGGAAGAGACGAGTTGAAAGCAAGGGATTAGAATTTGGGGGAGAAAGAGAGATTTTTTTTTCCAACCCGCAACCCTCCCCTTATCCACTCCCTCTCCCCTTCCATTCACATCAAGATTCATTTTCTATTCTCTTTATATACAGAACATCAGTTTAGCATACATTAAGTAAAGATTTCAACAGTTTGCTCCCACACAGAAACATAATTTTTCTCCTTTTACAAAGCATTTCTGAACTCAGTCTCTGTGAGATGATACATTTTCTAGTTCAATTTTGGTAATCAATTTAGAAGGTATACACACAACAACACATTATACTCCATAAACCACACACCTACAAATATATTTGCTAATCATACTTCACTAAAGGTGATTAAGTTGTCTATTTTTTTTTTATCTTTCCTGTTATTTTTAAAACTCTTAGGGGCTGTTGCTGTGGCATCGCTGGTTAAGCCACCACCTGCAGTGCCCGCATCCCATATGGAGCCACTTTGAGACCCAACTGCTCCACTGACGATCCAACTCTCTGCTATGGCCTGGAAAGCAGTGGAACATGGCTCCAGTGCTCGGGTTCCTGCACCCACATTGGAGACCAGGAAAGAGCTTCGGATTGGCCCAGCTCCCACCTTTGCGACTATTTGGGGAGTGAACCTGTGGATATAAGATTCATTCATTCTCTCTCTGCCTCTCTGTAACTGCCTTTCAAATAAATAAATAAATAAATCTTAAAAAATTAGAAGTTCTTACCATGACTTTGTTTAGAAGTCTTGTGCATCATTTATTCTTTCGTTTCTTTTCCCTCCTTTCCTTCTTGTTTTTTATTCTTTAACGTCATTGTACCGCCACGTGTGGACCCGACTCTGAGAGGCAGGCGGCATGGCTGTGGGTCACCGGCACAGCCCTAAGGCCATGCTTTTTCTGACTCCTCTTTGGATTCAGTGTCCTCGCCTTCCCCTGCGTAGACACAACTGCTGACTGGAAACTACTGCCTCCTCATGGGCACCAAGGACGGGGGTCATGCTGCTCCGCTCCTCGCCCAACGACTGACCACGGCCGCCTCCTCACACAGGGAACCGAAGTCGCCGTCCTTGTTGACCCCGCCTCTGACTGACCACGGCCCCCTCCACACACAGCGGACGGTATTCGCCGTCCTCCGCCCCGCCTCTGACTGACCACGGCCGCCTCCTCACACAGCGGACGGAAGTTGCCGTCCTCGGCCCCTCCACCTCTGACTGACCACAGCCTCTGACCACGGCCTCCTTCTCACAGTGTGGGTGGAAGTCGCCGTCCTGGTTGGTTCCACCTTTGACTGACCACGGCCGCCTCCTCACACAGGGAACCGAAGTCGCCGTGCTTGTTGACCCCGCCTCTGACTGACCAAGGCCCCCTCCTCACACAGCGGACGGAAGTCGCCGTCCTCGTTTGTTCCGCCTCTGAGTGACCACGGCCTCCTCCTCACACAGCGGACAGAAGTCGCCGTCCTCCGCCCCGCCTCTGACTGACCACGGCCGCCTCCTCACACAGGGAACCGAAGTCGCCGTGCTTGTTGACCCCGCCTCTGACTGACCAAGGCCCCCTCCTCACACAGCGGATGGAAGTCGCCGTCCTCGTTTGTTCCGCCTCTGAGTGACCACGGCCTCCTCCTCACACAGCGGACGGTATTCGTCCTCAGCCCCACGTCTGACTGACCACGGCCCCCTCCTCACACAGCGGACAGAAGTCGCGGTCCTCGGCCCCGCCTCTGACTGACCACGGCCTCCTCCTCACACAGCGGACGGAAATCGCCCTCCTCTGCCCCTCTGCTGCCTACTGACCATGGCCTCCTCCTCAGCCCCTCCACTGGTGACCGAGCCTGGTTGGTCCTGACAGGTACGGGGTAGGGGTCATCCTCCTCTGCTCCTCTGAGCACCATGAGCGAGCCCAGGTACGTGTGAGGCCAGTGTCTATCCGGGGCAAGGCCGGCAGTGCTTCCATCTCCGTTCCTCGCCGTCTGGGCTAGGGGTGGGCTGTGGCTTCCTCGGTTTGTCTCTGAGATCTGATGCTTTCTGTTTTCCATGAATGTTCAGAATTTTGTGCGTAGCAGGCATCATTTTCTGTTTGTTTCCCCCAACTTCAAAAAAATGCACCTTTTAAGATTTTATAGTGTTTGGAGGGTTGCCAGAACCATGCATATACATTTCACTATTTCACTGTGTAGTTTTAAAACAATTGTAATACAGGACTATCCCTTTCTTGGAGTCATAATTGCACGGGTCTTCTCCAAACAACACTGTAATAGATGTAAATTGGATTACATGTCCCTGCTTTAGGCTTAATGACTGTATTTAGAAAATATCTGATGCATACATAATCTGAACATAGACCACAGGAGTCAAAAGTTGCTCAAAGTGATTATTTATCAAAAAGGAAACAAATGGAAGCACTTGGGCCATCTTGCACTGCTTCTCCTAGGCCATTAGCAGGGAGCTGGATTGGAAGTGGAGCATTGGAGTTATGTGATGCTGGCATCAGAGGTGGTCACTTTTTACTCTCTGTGTCACAACACTGGCCCCGCCCATCCTCTATTACTTTCATTTTTTTTTTCCAGAAGAAACATCTATTATCTCTTTAATGCTAACATTTTCAACTTTATCTTATTTATTCTATCTAAACTTCTATTCTGAATTATTTTTGCAACTTTTTGTGTTTGGTAGTTGATTTTTTTCAGTGGCATTTCATTTCCTATTACCTTATTTTGCCTGTGAAATTATCTTTGTTTTTTCTTTGTTATTTCTGTATATATTTTATATATTCTCTATATAGTTATTTCTATATATTGTGTTGATACCATTACTTCATATCTGGTCATCTTTTCACTTTGAGCTTTATTTTTCTAAAAATGTCTCATTTTGTGTTGTAGATGCAATATACCATTTAAATTGATTTCAACTCTGAATTAGGCACATTCTTTCCTATGGTGTGTTTTTCTGATTATAAGGAATTGATGTATTTATAAATGTGAAGTTTCCTTATATAAATGGAGAAGTTATTTCCCCTTGGAAATGAAAGCATGCTTTCCTTAGCACGTTCCAAAGCTGATGGGAGAATGCACATAATAATATTCTACAAGACAAGCTCAACCAGGTTCATACCCCTCTCATTTCTGTTAGAGTGGATAACAGACTATCCATTGTTTTATTTGTTTCAAATGTTTAAAGGGGTAAATTGGACACCATAAGGTTGGAGGAGAATCCCTGAATCATTCAGTAAACTCTCTGAGGCTTTTTTGTGTTTCTTATGTGCACCGTTTTACCTTTGATTATCATTGGCAGTGGGTACAAGCTTGAATTTTATCATTTGTAAACAGGCTATAACATCTTGATGCAAACATGCATTTTAGATGAACCTCATTTTCCTTTCTGCCATCAAAATTCTAACTTGTTTAAAGCCACCTCACCAGATTCCACTCTGTCTGTATTTTTGCTTTCCTTGCACTCATACTTTCATGCTCTTTCTTCCCTGCTGTGTATATAATGACAATGTAGAGTAAAATTAATATGATAGAACAACTTTTTTCTGTAATTGTAGAACTCACTTAAAATACTTAGGCTTACCATATTGATGAAGTTCAAATCTGTTTTTGGAATAAAGGAGATGAAGATGGTTGGGGGGAGCATCAGGTATTGTGGAATTAAGAGGGTAGCCATATATAAGAATACAGTTCTTATTAATTTGTATCTGAATATCCCATTTTTTAAATTTTAGGAGCCAAATATTTGACTGTAAGCACAAATGTGAACTTGTGTGGGATCTCACATTTCATATTTTAAAGCATGAAACTGTATAAGTAATACTGTCTTCTTAAGAAACACTTTCTCCTTTCTTAGGACCAGAGAAATTACTTTTTGGTAGACTTTTTATCTACAAAGTGCTAAAACACTTCAGAAAAAATTAGAATAAATCTAAAAAGTCCATGAATTGTTTAATGCAAACTTGCCTATTTGATTCCTTTAATAAAATAATAATCATTATATGCATCCCACAATTCTGTGGAATCAAGGTGCCAATATGACTCTTAAGTACACTTGTTTTTCCTGCTGTAAATGAGCCAGTGCAGTGGGGCATGTGTCAGTTTCAAATGTCATCCGAGGGGTCTTGAAAAGTTCATGAAAAGTGTGTATTATGAAAAAGTGCATGGATTTCTAAATATTTTTTGCACCAAATAAGCTTGGCTTCTAATTGCCTTTTTCCATGAGTTTTTTATAGTACCCCTTATTAATGGGAAAATGGTTATATATTACTTCCTATCTATTATATGTACATATTGCTTAGTCTATTTGTATATATAGGCAAATATATACATATTAACATGTGTGAACATATGGAAACTGCAGTATGTATCACATGCTATACAAAATATATTAGGAAACAGTTTTTCCCAGAGAGTGAGAAGAATGGTGTTTCACAAAAGTGGGAAACTGTAGATAACATTTCAGCTGAGCCTTTATGAATAAACAGAAATTTACCGATGGATCGCCAAACTAGGTAGAAAAAATGGGTATATGAAATTTGATGGCATAGCTGAGAAAGAGCTGAGTGTTTTCAGTAGAGAGCATAGAATTTTTGTCCCTTGAGTACCTCAGCTTCTTGCAGAACTGCAGATTTTGTACTAACCTGTGGCTCTGAACAGAGGAGTACTTAGTACAAACCATCTAGTGCCAGATATCCAGCTCATAACCTTTCTGACCCCAAAGCATGTCCTATTACCATTGCCCTCAAGGCTCCTTTCACATCTTTGTTTCTCAGAGTATAGATAATAGGATTCAGAAGTGGAGTGACTATGGTGTAGAAAAGAGAAACAAACTTTCCCTGGTTTTTGGAGCTGCTTTTGGCTGGTTGCAGGTACATGAAAATGATGGTCCCATAGAAAATGATGACAACAATCAGGTGAGAGGAGCAGGTCCCAAAGGCCTTTTTGCGCCCTGCAGCTGATTTGATCCTCAGAACAGCCTGGGTTATGAAGCCATAGGAGACTAAGATGAGTGACACAGGGACAATCAGAAACACTACACTGGCCACAAAGAGTTCTCCCTCATTGAAAGTTGTGTCCACACAGGCCAGTTTGATGAGCACTGGCACCTCACAGAAAATGTGGTCCAGTTTCCGATGACCACAGAGGGGCAGCTGCACAGTGAGGGAGCACTGAATGAGAGAGGTGACCAGTCCACTGAGCCATGCTGTGCTGGCCAAGGCAACGCAGAGCTTGGGGTGCATGATGGTGGCGTAGTGCAGTGGCCGGCAGACTGCAACATAGCGGTCGTAAGCCATGACCGCCAGGAGAATGCACTCAGAGGAACCCAACCCCATAGCCACATAGAGCTGAGCCACACATCCTCCATAGCTCATGCTCTTGTCTTTCTTACTCATAGTAACCAGCAGCTGTGGGGCAACACTTGTGGTGAAACAGATGTCCACACAGGAGAGGTTGCTGAGGAAGAAGTACATTGGTGTGTGGAGTTTGGCATCCACACAAGACACCAATATGATGGCTGTGTTCCCCAGAATATTAAAGATGTAAAAGTGCAAAATGATGATGAAAAGGCACCTTTCCAGCTGGGGCTGATCTGAAAACCCCAGAAGTAGAAAGCCATTTCCAGAGCTGTTGTTGGCTTCCTCCATCTTCCACAGCTTGAGCTTACAAAAGGATGAATATCCTAGGGACATAAGGGCATGAGCTCAACATTGGCAATCCCCAACTGTTTGCAGTGCCACATTATAGCACCTGTAGAATTTCCTCAATACGTATCTGCAGGCAAGAGATGCCACCTCCTTCTATTAACTCTGAAATTAAAGTATGGAACCAAGAACCAACAGCCTTCTCCAAGGAGCAGATCCACCAAGGGGACCCAGGAGTCCTGTCCTGTGTGGGCTCCTCCAACAAGGCATCGTGATGGTTCTACCTTCCAATATAAGTACCAGCCACCCTGTTCCTCCCTCTGTGCCCAGGTCCAAGCCACCAGGCTCCCTCCCCAGCTCATGGCCTAGACCTTGCACTTTCTGACAGAGCCCCAGCTGGAGTCTGAAGTAACCCAGGTGTGAGGGGGTCCTGCAGGCAGCCTGGGGGTGAACAGAAAGTGCTCCACACTCTGCTTTGTTTGCGTTTTTTAATAAAATAATCTCATGTGGCAAAAAAAAAAAGTGCAGGTGCAGTATCCTTCCAAGGATAATATAGAAAAATGAAAACCACTAAGTAGCCACCTTCTTAGCACATAAATGAATGATTCCAAATACAGTTGCCAGAGAGCAAAGCTGAATCAGCCTATGGTATTCAGACTAATTTAGCAATGAGGACATCCAGAGTCAGAAATACACACAACTTTGAATTGGTAACAGTTCAGGAAGAGGCAGTAGTCAGCATACAGCTCTAGAATGGAGGTTAACCAGGGCCAGGAGAGAATCTGATGAGAAAAAAAAAATCAACTGAATTGTTACTTTCTTGTTTGCATGTGGCAGTGAAATAGAACTTAAAGTTAACAAATCAGCCAGTGAAACATGAACCATCTTTAAACATACAGGAATAAACACTGGCATAGAAATAGTTCTCAAATTAGATTATAAAAGAAGAGATGAGAGAAAATTACTTTAGAAGCTATTTTATTTTGACATATGCCGAGTAACTGACAGATATTGTGTATTTGAGGTATATATGCTGTCTTTCAAAACAAAGAATGTAAATAAATAAAAATAAAATAAATAAATACAATAAAACTTTCAATATTAAAATATATGTAAGGTCTGCTTGAAAAGAGTAATAATGTATTCACCCATGATTGTTCAGAAATTTAAACTTTAGATAAATTAATTTTCAGGCAATTGAAACATTTCTCTAATTTATTAAACATTCAGGTAGCAATTTTAAAGATACGTATTATTTAATCATCTATTATTTTTTAAAGTGACTAAAAATAACTCCCTTATTTTGCTAAGGAATTCTGGCTGCGTGTTTACTGTAAACTGCTATCAGTCATTCTGCCCATCCTTCTCATCCCCTCCTGTCATTGTAAGAGAATCAAAGAATCATCCTATCACACACCCTCCAAAGTATCTCTCTTCTTGTCTCTCTCCCACTTTTTCTCTCCCTCTCTTGCGTGTGCGCACACACACACACACACACACACACACGATCTTTCCTTAGCCTGAAAAAAAGAGACTGGAAGGTGAAGATTTATTATTTTCCCGAAGTAGTTACAAAACTCAAAAAAAGAGCTAAGATGTGGTTTATGCAAGATTATATGTGGCTTTCTGAATACATGGGAGGGATCCAAGTACTTGGACCATCTTTTGCTGCTTCCCAGGTGCATTAGCAGGGATCCTGAATTGGAATCAGAGCAGCCAGGACTCAAACCAGTGCTCTGGGATGACAGCATGGCAAGCAGCATTTTAACCTGCTGTGCTACAATGTTGGTCCCTGATTTTATGTTTTGTATATCAGGCCCATGCCATTTTCTCAGGACAAGGTCTTAATAACTGTACTTATCAATCATCTTTCTACTTCCTCAAGTTCCTGGCACTGCATTTTCCTTCCCCCTGCTCAAAGGCTGTTAGACCCTTGAGCCTGACTTCTCAGTCTGGAGAGAAAGCAAAGCTCATCTGAGTGGTGATCATGATCCATGAGTGGATCAATGGCCCTTTCTGCAGCATGAGTCATAAAGTATGTTTGTGTGTTTATGGGATTCTTTGTTTGCTGCAGCCTGTTAGCTCCCTAGATTAGCACTGTGGGCTAGAGGAGGTAAACATAAAGATTGAACTCAGAAGAGAAACAGGTTTTCTGAGGCCAAAATTCATTTCTCTGCCTGACTTCTAGATCTTGTGCCATTATCACATACTTGTTCACTTGATCTGCTGTCTAACTAGTATAATATGTCCTTGTGCAAGGTGAGTAAGTCCAAGAGACCTGTTGTAAAGCCTTGTACACTTAACAGTTATGGCTCAGCACTTGAAATTTAGGTAAGATATTAAATTCATGTTAAATATAGTCACCATAATAAGTAATTGTTGAAAAATCCATGAGCCAGGCAATGAATTCAGTTTTGGAGATACTATAATGAAAATTAGACAAAAAGAACCAGTGAAACTGAAAGAGAAAATATTTCCCTACAGCAATCATCTGAAAAAGAAGTTCAAAGCCTTCTTCATGGTATAATGTGGCAGGTACAAGCAGAAATGTTTTAAAATTATGTTTCCTTCCCTCACAAAGGACACTAGTAGCCAGTAAAATTTATCAGTGGGAAAGAATCCCGTCAGTTTCTGCTATCAGTGTTTGCCAGGTGCTGCTCTTGAAAGTGAGGAGTCATTTTGTCCATTCTGTTTGATGATCTGACCTCATCTGAGCAGCTGGCTGAGACTTGGAACAGGCAATTTCACCTGACTCCTTCACAAACCTACATAATCCCAAACACGGAACAACCTGGACTGGAAAAGGTCAAGTATAAGGATATGTTTAATTTATGCTATGATTTTTGGCTGTAATCAATTAACAAATTCACATCCACTAAGTTGCTGTTACTCACAAAAGAGAATAAAAATGGGGGGTGGACATTTGGTGCAGTGGTTAAGACTCTGCCTGGGATGCAGGCATCCCATATCAGAGTGCTTGGGTGGAGTCCCAGCTCAGCTACGAATTCCAACTTCCTGCTAATATGCATGCTGGGAGTCAGCAGGTTCTAATATTTTGTTCCCTACCACCTATATGGGGAGACTCAGATTGAATTCCAGGCTTCTGGCTTCAGTTTGGCCCATCCCAAGCTGTTGAGGCATTTGGGGAATGAACCAGTGAGTGGGAGATCTCTCTGTCTGCTTCTGCATTTCATTTAAAAATAAATAAAAATTTAAAAGTTAGCAAAAATATGGGCATTTCTACATGAGACTTTGTGATTCATGTTTGCAACCCACAAGCCACAGCTTTTACAATCTTTTAGAATACCTGATGTTGTGGGAGAGGCCAGCTTCTTCTTGGATTGTCTTTTTCTGGTTCAATATTTTTCTGTGCTTCCAATGATAAATCTCAGGTATAATAGCAAAAATATAAAATAATATAAAAATATAAAAATCTAATTGGGGCAAAAAGAAACAGATAGCCCCTTACCAATATGTAGGAAGTAGGGTGCATGGCCTGCTTCTTCTGTATTGTTGCATATCTGGGGTCGGAGAAGTGACACCCACAGAGTGACCACACACCAAGCCTAAAATAATGAGAAGTTCCAAGAGGGATTGGAGAAGAACAAAGGCTCCCAATAGGGATAGAGGGCCTAGATTTAGGGAATGGCTTGTTTATCCTGTCAACTCCACAAGGACTACAATCCCAGTTCACCAATTACATTTTGAGAGAATCAGAGATTTGTGATCCTGGGATCACTACTTCTGGGGAAAAAGCCTTACCCTTCAGTGGACCAAATGCTTACAACAGAAATCTAATGAGCAGAAATATGCAATGACTCTTTCAAGCCTGAACTTGTAGTTTCAGTGTGTAATAAAATATATCTATTATATGAGATGGGAAATTAAAAACTGAAATTAATATGTTAAGCACATGAAAATAATAAATTACAACGGAATAACATGAAAACAAAAAAGTATAAAGTTGAAAAAATTCAGGTAAGTCAAAAATCGTGTTGACTCATTTTTTTAAAGATTTATTTATTTATTTGAAAGTCAGAGTTACACACAGAGAGAAGGAGAGGCTGAGAGAGAGAGAGAGAGAGAGAGAGATGCCTTCCATCTGCTGGTTCACTCCCTAAATGGCCGCAATGGCTGGAGCTGCGCCGATCTGAAACTAGGAGCCAGGAGCTTCCTCCAGGTCTCCCATGTAGGTAGGTGCAGAGGCCCAAGGACTTGGGCTATCCTCTACTGCCTTCCCAGGCCATAGCAGAGAGCTAGATCTCAAGAGGAGCAGCCGGGACTTGAACTGGCGTCCATATGGGACACTGGCACTGCGGGCAGCAGCTTTACCGTCTATGCCACAGCGCCAACCCCCGGCTCATATTTTAAAAGAGATTATTTCAGGTATTCTCTGTGCACAGTCCCAGTGCACAATATGCTGGCAAGTAGATTGCTTCAGTCATGATATAATTTAGTTGTTTAAGTAAGTGATTTTAAAAGTTTTTAAAATACAAAATCAATACATATTTATGGAATTTCTTTGTGCTTATCACTTTTATTGTTTTGTGAAGATTATACATAGATAAATAATCAAAGACATGGAGACTTCCTGGAAAGCTGGATGATGGATCATGGAGTCTTGGGTTGGGGATTCATACATTCAAACCATCTGGAATAAGTTCTTCACTTTACATAGGAGAAATTAGAGCATTCAAAGCTTCGTGAGTTACAGTGGATCACACAGAGCAGCTTCAGAGTCTGCACTGTAGTTCTGGGATCCAATTTTCATATCTATGTCTGAGGCTCAAATGGATACAAAGCTAAATAGCAACCAGACAGAAAGGATAATGCATGCATGAGTAATGTAGCTGGGACAGAGTACCTGAACAAAGCAACACTTGAGTTCAAGTGCCAAGTGCCTTCATGACACGAATTTAAGACTGAAGACATAATTTTCCTATTCAAGAATTTTATCCAAAATACATCGTCTATTTATCTCCAAATTCTTGTTTAAAAATATGAACTTTTTAACTCCATAATCTGAGTTGAGTGATAATACCTAAATGTGTTTGGCCAAGGTTTAAAATTGATAATAAAGATTCTTCAAAAAGTTAATGGGAATTGCATGCTATAAAAATTATTCATGGATTTCTAAAAAAATTGTTCCATAAAAATAGAATCTTTTAATTCTATTTTCCACAAATTTGTTGCCATGCCCTCACGTTCATTAACCACAGGGCCTGTGCTCCAGAACAAACTGGGGGTCGGGAGACAAGGACTGGGCTGTGGTCCACTTCTTCT